GGTTTGTGCATCATCAATATTTCAGACTAAGGCCATGCTATCAGAAGTGTATTGCTGCATGGCACTTTCTGAAGACTAAAGATTTTTTTAGTGTTTTGTACTATTATTCATGAATCTCGGTGTAGAAACTTCAGAAGAAAAATCCATACACAAATATTACTTTTATTCATAGTATGTGCTTAAGCAATATTGGTTGTATGTATACAAATTTAATAAAAATAGATCCATCATTTGTGACGTTCATGAATAGCTTCAGTATTCTTGAAATTATATATAATGTGCATTCAGTAGTAATAGTGTGCTTCATTATTTTACCTAGACAACAGGGAATGCAGTAGTGGTAGCACTGGGAGACTGTTCTGTGTTACTGTTTTTCGTCTTGGTCAAATCTGACAATTTTTGCTGATGGATAGATAGAACAACAGGGACCATACTATCCCTAGATTCCTGATAATGTAATGTAATCCTTCATTAAAAAATGCCTTAAAATGGAAATGCTTTTTTTTTTCCCCTGAACTGTACTGTACAAACATGTACTCTTTTCAGTTCTTTCAGCTTGTGTTTTCAAGTGTTGGAAATAGAATGTATGTATTTGGTTTTTATGGAATTTTGATTTCATATGGACAGGAAATTCAGGTAGACTCTGCTCTTGATCAGTGGCAGAAGGGATATCTGGGTGATCCCCTACCCCTCTTCATCAAAGAATATGTTACATGAACTTTGTTCTGTGTTTTTTATCATCATTATTGCCTTATAATCTAGGAAAAAACCCCAACCTTTTGGGCAGAGCACTACTGTTCCCAAAACAGATGAGCTGTGAAACAGCTCAGGAATGTGTAGAGGTGATATCCAGGTGATACCAATGGATTAAGCTGGTGGTATGTGGAAGGGTCTGTCTCTCTTTTAACAGCATCTAAAACTAGCAAGTAGATTCTGGAGCAAGTGTGAGGGAAGGGATTCAGAATGAGCACATAGCTAATGGTGTGACAAACCAAATTTGAATGTGTTGTGAAACCAAGGAAGTTCAGAGCAAAAGAAAGTCAAATGTGCTAAGTAATTAATTTGTGTGATTAAGACTTTCAGAATATTAACTCTTATTTCATTGGGTCACCCAATGAAATAAGAGTTAATATTCTTGTGGGCAATGCTGACAGTAGCCTTTTAATATACGTAGTGGATTTGTCTTATGGGCAGGCCATGAATGAGTATGTAAAGCCGAAAAATTTGTTTGGATACTTTAGTTATTAATGTGTTTTATGTAACATCGCTGTGAGCTGAACCGCAGCTTTTCAACAGAGAAGATGTAAGTGTGTGTCCACTTTGATAAAAATAAGTAGTTTGATTATGTGACGAGGAAATTTTAAAGATTTTTAAAGATCATATTATGTGGAATGAAATACCTATCTCTTTGGGTGGCAGTAATGGTAGTAGTAAGAAACCGCTGCTGTGACTTTGGCAGAAGTTCTACTTTTCTGAAGTGGCATGTATTTTATTTTGATATTTACATGTTTGATAAGACAATATAGTCCCTTACATGATTCTTTCAGGGCACAATGGTGAAGCTTTACTCTCTTAATTGATGTTGCATGTATTTTCTTCTAAATTAACTTGAGAACTGGTGATCTACAGAGTGAGGTCATTTGAATGTTTTACATCTGGGATATATTCATTGAGTGCCATTTTTGTTTCAAAACACAGCTTTCTTTATAGATAAGTAACAGGATCCTTCCTTAAATTGTCAGTGAGATGATGTTACTACTTCCTAGCCAACACTTTTCAGATACTAAGTGTTTTAATTTAAGGCTGTGTGTTGAGACCGTGGAGTTCACTAGGAAAACCTTAATCATAACAAGGGAGCAATTGTTCATTGTTGTGGTTTTTTTTTTCTTGTGGATTTAACCCTGGAGCAGTTCCAGCTGTGTTAATAAGCCACAGGAAGCTGCAGTGAACATACACATATACTTAAAGAAGAAATTCCTACTCTTACCTAATGCAAAGACATCTAAGCAAGAGCAGCTGCTTATTGAAGTCAGTTTCTTTTTCTCTGCACGTGAAATTAATAACCAAGGACAAGACATGCAACTAGTTGATGGCTAGTAGTTGGCTGATTTACACCCAGTAGCTGCTGTTGGTTATGGCTTCCACATATGAGGTTGCCTTTTTTTAATAAGGCAAATGTCATAAAGCATTAGTTGCATTTGATGCTTTTGGACATTTCTAGAATCCAAAATCTAATTTAATCTAAATGAAATGCAGGTCTTATGTTTCCTATGTTACACTTAAAAAAGGTCAAATACAATCAATTCCCTTCAAGGGATGCCAAGTCTAAAAATGGTATTGGCGATATATATTAAGTATTGTCAAAAGCGCCTACTACTGCTGACTGCTTCTTCTGCAGAACAGGTGTTAAACTTGCAATGTGCATAGTTCTTTGGCAATAAATTGTGCTTTTGGGGCAGGCAGGATAGTAGACAGTGACTGATAGTACCCATGTTGTTGTATGGAAAGGTAGTGCTAATGTACTCGAACCTGCCATTTTAGAGGCCAAAAGAAGGCTAGGGGACTTCTTTTCTCTGCAAAAAACTAGAGAGCGTCAGATGGTTTTCAGTTATTACTTAGCATCACCAAGCAGAGCGAGGTCTGGGAATTCTCTTTCTGTAGATCCCAGCAAGTTTGATCCAGTTAAGGATAGCCATCATCAGTAAGCGTCGTGGTTTCACCCCGGATGGCAACTAAGCACCACACAGCTGCTCACTCCCTCCCCCTCAGCAGAATGGGGGAGAGAATCAGGAGGGTGAAAGTGAGAAAACTCGCGAGTTGAGATAAAAACAGTTTAATAATTGAAATATAATAATCATAATCATAATATATTGGAATGAGAAGGAAAATAACAGAGAGAAATGAAACCCAAAAAAGGCAAGTGATGCACATGAAAACAGTTGCTCACCACCAACAGACTGATGCCCAGCCAGTCCTCAAGCAGCAGCCCTCCCACCAAATTCCGCCCTAGTTTTATACGCTGAGTGTCATGTCATATGGTCTGGAATATTCCTTGGGTCAGCTGGGGTCATCTGTCTCAGCTGTGTCCCCTCCCAACATCTTGTGCACCCCCAGCCCACTCGCTGGCAGGGAACAGGAAAGGCCCTGACTCTGTGTAAGCACTGCTCAACAGTGACTATAATGTGTTGTCTGTGTTGTCAACACTGTTTCCAGCACAAATCCAAGATATAGCCCCTTACCAGCTACTGTGAAGAAAATTATTCTAGCCAAAACCAGCACAGTAAGGAAGGTATTTCTGAATGTTTTTCGTTATAGTGACAGAAATGCCCACAACATTCACAATGCAGCACCAGATTTTGTCTATGGCAAGAGTAGTTTTTCTGTTTTGTTTTAGCACTTTGTCAATTCATTGGTGTTGGCTGAAGTCAGGGCCCTGACGTCTGCTTCTTCTGGTATTTTTACCATCTACTACTTAGAGCTCCAGTATTAAAAGCAGCTTTATCTTTTTCAGTTTGCTTTTCAAAACTTGAAAGAAGATGCATGTAATTGTGGAACTGCAAGGCACAAAATGGTTTTAGATTTATTTTTGTGTCAGCCACTGGAGAAGAAGATTTGAAATAAAACATTACATTTCAGAGTGTTTCTTGCTTGTCTTATTTTCAGTAGAGTATGTGAGTGTTACCTGCATTTAGCATGAGGTGCCATTTGAAGGACTTTGGGTATTTTGCTTTGAACATCTGTTGCCGTTTTTCATATCCCAATTACTTTTACCTCTGCTCCATTTTTTCTCCATTCTTTGTAAAGAAGTAGTAAAAGTTGAAATATTCTGCCTTATTCAGATCTAATTTGTGATTGTTTTGTTCAGTCCTGGACAACAGTTTTTGTCAGATGAGTTCTGTGTCGAAAAACTTTCAGCCAGCTCTGTTGAGAGCAACACTGCCAGACTAGTGATGGGGTTACTGCTTAAATTTCATGTTGTGGATGAGGCGCTGTGCTCACAGACTGACAAATACTTTGATTGTAAGAAGAATTACTTTTATCTTGTTAACTTAGAATGCTAATTATGACTAAATTTCAAACACTGTCAAACATTTCAAGCTTGACCTTTATATGCAAACATCCGGCAAACATGTTGATCCAGAGGGCACCGTTCCATTGAAAGGGTGTTCCTGGGAAGAAGGCCAAACTCTTGAAACAGGGTTTTGATTTCTTACTCCAAGATTTCAAATGACGAGTGACGACAATAGGTCCCTGCTAAATGTATTTGCGGTCTGAAAAAAATTACAGTTACACAAATGAAGCTGTATGTTCCTCAAGCTTTTACAGTAACGGACATCTGACTTTTTAGAAGATGAACTTGAACTAAAGCCTGCCATTTAGGCTTCTATTTTTTTTAAAACTTAGGTATTATTTAGGAAAGGCACTATAGCCTCTACAGTGAATGTGTTTGTGAGGCTGCAGTCTCCTATGAGTTCTTCTAGTTCTGCGACACCTGACTCTTTTACACACTTTTAAAATCATCATCATGCTGAATGCTGTATCAGTACACAACAGTGATAATGGAGGGGCACAGCTCTATGCTTTGCATTCTGTTCTTCTGTCAGAGGAAATACGTGTTCAGATTCGTGCCCTGTTGTAGACATCTATTTCCATTTACAGTAGTATCAGTATTCATATGTGTGTTATTTCACATCTCATTAAGGTACCTAGCAATGCTTTTAAAGAATGTATTTTCTGCACATTGCAGTCTATTGCAGGCAATATTCCTATCAAGTAATACTACCACTGCTTGGAATTTCTTTGCTATCTTTTATCCAATTTGGGGCTAAAATCAGAAAAAACTGCTTACAAGTAAGTAAACCTTTGTCACATGTGTGTTTATATGTTTATTTGGATGGCTCTTACCCCAGTCTTCAGACCTGCTTGGGGTCAATAATGCCATAATGCATACAGTTCATAATAACCAAAAAATAATTGAATGTGGTGGTTGTGTTTCCTAGGTATAGCATATCTGAGTGGAATGTGCAGTGAGAAACGAAAATGTATAATTGCAGAGGACAATGGTCTGAATCTCGCTTTTACCATTGCCCATGAAATGGGTCACAAGTAAGTATGCAGATAACAAACCCTAGTATTTGTTTGCATGTAATATTACTATGAATTGATTAATTTGATTGTGTACTTAATTTTTCTTTTAGGAAGGCTTTTTAATCTTATGAAAAATTTTGAAAACAATTTATTTGTTATTAATAATAGTAGTGACACGTATTAATATATAGTATATAAATTAAGAAAATGTTTACAACTTGGAGTAATGCAGGAATTTTTAACACAGTAACTAGATTAGCTGGAAGGACTGATGTTGTCTAGAGGAAAAACAGGTACCCCAAGATGTTTTTTTTCTTTTGGGACTGTGGTATTGTGTATCACATCCAGCTCTGGCTATTGTTGCCAACAAACAATTTAATAAGATCATGAGTTGGAAGAGTCCTTATTTAAATTGGCTTTCTCAGGATAGATCCCATTAAAGTATGTAATGGTCATCGATCATGGCAATATTAATATTGTTTTTTATTCTGCTTCAGAGAAAAGGATGACAAAGTGAAGGTGAAGATCACTGTCCTTCACTATTGGATTGGATATTTTTTACTCATTTCACAAGGAAAACTTTGAAGCAAAAGTGAAAAATTCTTATGTTGCAATAATCAAACTTGTTAGTGAAAGTTGTATTCTATTCTTGGCTTCAGTAATTGTCAAAGAAAAACAAATAGGAAGGTTCTTATTTTAAAAGAAGATAAAGTAAATGGGAGGTGTATATTAATCTGTCATTTTTACTTGCAGTGTCTCGTCCAGTTATCTGTGTATACATTTTTAGAAAAGCAGCTTCAGAGTGACAACAGAGGGGAATGTATTGTTAAATCCTTTGAACCTCTGAAAGTTAATGTTAGGTATCTTAGGATAAACACATTGAATTTAAAGTGATTTGGTTTAAATTTGGTCAAAGCTGTCTGAGAATGGACGTCATAGCATCTAATGTTGAAACATGCACCTGATTACAAGAAAGAATTGGAACTTAAAATATTTCTATTTAAAATTTGTCCTGGATGCAAAATAAGCAAATTCAGAGCAAATGTATAACTTGGAGGGAAAAGGTGACAGATGTATTGTATGAAATGCTGCATGGAATTGATCTTTTCTGTTTTTTCTTTTTTTGAGTTTTCACAACTGCACAAAGCAACTCCAGATTAATATAAGCCAGCCTGTCTGAGTGATAGTTATGATAAAGGAAAGACTTCAAAAGAAAGACTTGTGTTTTGTTGCCACATGATGTCTTTTTTTTTTTTATTCACTGTAGTGTTTGCTAATACTGGAAGGGGGGTGGGTAGAGGAAGGCTTATTTTCTGTGCACTTATTTTTATGACACTAAACGAAGTGTAAGGGGAAAGAAAGAATAACTGAATATGATCTGCAGATAAATTCACTGATGGAGTAAATTAGAAAGTTTTTTGAAGTGGGTGGGTTAATAATAGATAATTTAGAGAAATGTAAGTACTGCTTTATGCCCTGAACAACAAAAATATGTTTAGAGAATAAAAAGTTTGGCAGCAAAATTACTGGATTTGAAAAAATAGGCGTGTTGATCAACAAGAAATGTAACACCTTATGCTTCCTGAGAAATGGTTATGTACAAAACCCTAGATGCGGAAAACGGGAAGCAGATATAAAATTTTTGCAAAGTTATGGATGATGTGTTGATTCAACACTAGTAAATTTGAGAATGTGAGATACTGATCTTATAAAGAAGTTTTTGTGTTGCAGTAGACAAGTCAGACCTACCTTTGACACTCTAAAGGCTGCTGGATGCCAAACAATATCCGAAACAGGTTAGACAGGGAAGTTCACTGTTGCTGCCTAGCAGTTCTTCCAAATCTGCTGTGCAGGCCAGGCTCTGTAACCCTTATTGCGTTGAGTCCTCAGCTTGAAATATTTTCATGGCTTTGAATTGCTGTGGGAGTGAGGAAGAGAAAGGGTTTAGCATGATCTTCCTACAGAGACATAAAAACTAAATTGCTGATATATGAATCCTGGGAAAAAAATGTTAAAGGCTGCACTGTGAAATTCCAGAACTTTCAAATCCCTCCATATCAATTCAAATAAATTTGGAAAAACAAATCATCATGATTTGAGCCATCATATTCTCATGGTAATAATGACATTTGGATGTCCTTTAAGACATTCTCACAGTTCTCTGCAGGTACTGTAATAGACATTTGAAAACAACGGAGATAAAGGATAAACCAAACCTGCTTTCATAGTAAAGGTTGGGATGTTATTTAGGCTACTCATTTTTTCAAGAAATTCAACATCATGAAGGCTATTAAGAAGCCACCTAGAAATGAGGAAGACTAACACAAAAGAAAAAGAATAGGTAGCCAGGGACAAATGAACAGCTGCCACAAAAAAATATAAAATAAGAGGCAGCCTTCACTGCGAAACATGTGGAGACATTCAACTTGATCCTTGCTTCATTATGGAGCCAAAGTCCTTAACTGTTGTAATCTAAAATAGAGTGGTCTTGCCCCAGAGAGAGTAAGGTGGTATTTCAGAGATATTTGTTTTCTCTGCATGGCTGTCTCTGTCTGCCAGCCTAGCCCTGTCTGTTTCAAAGAAGCACACTAGGAGTAGTTAACCCTTTGTGGAGAGACAATATAAAAATATTTGAAGACAAACATCTGAAGCTAGGTCCCATTGAAAAGGATCTTGAGACACTCAAATGGAACTAGAGTATTTATCACAGAGATTTGTCTTGCTTGTTCGCAACTGTCTCAGAAATGGAGATTAAACGATCACCATCTAGACCAGTCATAAATCTCCCATTCTTTCAACACATCATGTTTTCTAGAAAATTTTCACGAACTCTTTCAGGATCTCAGGGTCACTTGACTATTACCTTCCTTTTTTGCCAAATATATTTAACCATTCTAGTTGCTCTTGTTGTTGTGAAGAGATCCCTGTTCAGTAGCATAGGAGAAGAAAAATTTCCTGAAAGACTTTGCCTTTCAAAGTACGAAGAAAAAACTCAATTTTTCTGTCTTCTGTATAATATACTTGCCCATAAATTATCATTCAAATAGACTCAAAATGTATGCAGTATAGAGGGTTGATTTTCATTCATCAACTTGAGAACATAAACAAACACATTCACAATTGCCGTTGGTTTGATGAGTATGAAAGTACCTTTTAAGAAGATAACTGCTTTTGGAAGGTTTGTTTTTACAGACCAACCTCCATGCTGTTATCTATACATTTGAAATTCATTTGTCTCTGGTAAAAATCTCATGATCATTTGCAAGCTCAGAACAATTTGGCAGACCTCTAATGTCTCTGCCATCGACTGCGTAATTACAGGTTTATGGGACTTTGAGGGGGATGGAGTATACCCCCTGCACTGAAATCTAGGTTTGCTTGCACAGGAACACAGGTGAAGAATTACAGTTAATTATATTGAATAATTCTTATACATGGATGTTTATTTAGTGTTGTGTTGTGGTTTTCCTAGTTTCTCTGGTTAAAACAGAAATATGCTCAATTAAATACAATGGAAAGCTAAACCTTTCTTTGCAGTATGAAGTGTCTTTGTTTTAGCCATGTATATCTGAAAGCAGATGATCTTTTAATGACGTTGAGAATTAATGTTGTGAGTTAACTATTAATTTTTGAGCTCCATCTTGAAATATTAGGAGCCAGTCTGTAATCAGAGTTCTGTGATGACTCCTTATGTATGGAGAAATAACAGATAGATATAAACTGCAGTATCTTTAAGTAACAATCATTATGTACTCTAAGAGTACTTTACAAGTTGTTTTAAATAGTTGAAAGAGATACTGGTGGAATTTATCAGAATCAGTTTTGTACACACCTGCATTCTTTTTCTGGTAAGCGTTTTGTGACATAAGAAATGTACCTATTTTTAATTTCAGGATATTCTACCAGGTCTTTCGTAGTTCCAAACAGGAAGTCTGTGGAATTTCTCAATCCTAATCCCGATTTCACCTACTTAATAACTCATAAGAAAACACCGTACATTTTTTGTGATGATATTAAACAATCGTATGAAATCCAGTGGAACTTGAACAGAGTTTTAAATGGGAGAAATGCTAACCGAGTGTCAGTTACTCTGTGCATTTTTGTTATTACAGTCCAAAATATGATAACAGAACACAATAAAATCAACACGAATAATAAAAGCAACTGTCTACCAATTTTTGTGAAGGAGTTACTGATGTGGAGTAGAGAATCTCATTAAAGTAACTACAAAAAGATATATCTTGATATTTGTAAGGCTAAAGTAGAATTTTACAATTGAATTTGTGTTTAACAAGGAATGAGATTAGCACATGGGAAGCAAAGGTATTAATGAGGTTTGATAGAAGTCCTCCTTGTATCTTGAAAACCGTGAGAAACTTCAGGAGCAGTATTGGTCGCTTCCACTGATAAAACTGTGCACGGTAGGATTCATAGAAGTAAAGTTCACTAAATTAAGACATTTGACATGTGGTATTTTGTCTCAGATGTAAAGTCAAATATTTGTTTAGCATTTATTTTGATGTCTTATTGTTCAGCTGAGAGAGAAAGAATGAAGCCTTACTTGATAACTGGGTGGATGTGCATACAGACCACCGATTGTTTACATTTTAATGACTTTTCTATCTTGAGAAAGAAGCATAGAGAGGTTTTACAGGGTAGTGGCACTGTTATTCTCTTTCCAAAATAACTACCTGTGGGGTATACCAAGAATTTTGTGTTTCCTACCTGTTAGTAACCTTTCTCATGGACGATGAAAGAGTCGCTCCCCTTACATGTACCTTGCCCTTTTCTGAGACAGACTACAAAGGCAGAGTTTGTAATTCCTGCTAACTCAAAATAAGCATAGCTGTCTTTTGTTTCCCTAAACGGGGAAATGTATCTATATTAGGACTGTAATTGTCAATACAAATTAACTGCTTGCACATGACCTTCCTCTTCTTACATGAGATAGTTGACTTCTAGCCATGCAACAGAATGTACTGCTCTGATGTGGAGAATTATTTAATTACATTTATTTC